TTGCAGGCAGAAAAAGGCCTTGAGCCTGCCGACACCTTTTTAATTTGCGGCAGAGCAGCAGGTACAACTACAAAAGGGCTGCCACAAGAGGTCGAGCCCAAGCACACAAACGCATACAGGAAGAACGGGGGATGTAGAAGATAAGCACACACAGAGAAGAAGCCCAAAAGGAATAACACACACACAGAAGAGATGACAATGACCAGTGGGTAAAAGGGATGATAAAGTACAAACAGAGAAGGTGACCAAGAAGGGAAAGACGGCAGGAAGCCTCGGGTGAGCCACGGGAGCTCTACGCAGGGGTCATTTCGTAGAAAAAGAGCTAGGGGAACTCATTAGCATAACTCATTAGCATATGCCACACCCCCTGACATCAGGGGCCTGGCGGTGGACCTGCAAGGCCAGCGGGAGTGCGAGGAAGCCCCGCGAAGACCCTCCCTGGCCCCAGGCAGGCAACGGTTTACATCCTGGCTGGCACCCTTCCCCGACTCCCCTTCTCCTCAGACTGTTTTTACTCCCCCCACACACACCCGTGAGGCGATCACAGGCCAGAAATGGGAGAAAACTGTAATTTTCGCCCCTTGACTTTAATTAATGTATTAATACCAATACTGTTTGTATTTATTTTATAGTTTTAATGTTCTTTATTATGCTGTACATCGCCCAGAGCCCTACAATAGTAGGGACTGGGCAATTCATAAATATCATATAATAAATAATAATAAATAATAATGGTGCCACCTACTTTCTTGAAGCATACAGTGGGTGTCTGGGGAAGTGCCCGTGGGCACCATGATACCCAGGGGCACCACGATGGGGAACTCTTGTCTACAAACTAACACTGCTAACCAATGCTCCTTCTAAGCTGTGAAGTCTTATGAACAAAAATCCTACTTTGTGAGCTACTGGCATTAAAGTTGTGAGCGAGCGATTTGACTACTGCATGAATTAGTTTGCTCTGGAGCCATCCTTCCTGAGCTAAGACAAAAACCTGTGAGCTGGAGGCTAAAAACCTGTGAGCTAGTTCACACTAACTCAGCTTAGAGGGAACACTGCTGCTAATTGCACATCTTTTCTAGAAATGGTCTCAGTTGCTCCCTTTTTTGACTTGCAAATCTGATCATCGCCTTGGAAAAGCTGCCTAGTGTTCGTGTTAAGTACAAAGCTGCACCTGTGTCCCTTTGGCTCCTCATACTTCACAGCGGATCAGACCCTGAAGCAGAGCTTTGGGCCCATGGGCTTCCTATCCAGCAGTGGACAGGTACATATTCCTAGGCAAGGATCCTTTTAAAATAAAATAAAAACTTTACTGACAACATTTACGTATCCTAAGATACTCTCATTCACCCTTTGCAGTCACCCAAATTTAGGTTCGTCAGACCTGACCGGAAGGAATGATGAGGGATACCCAGGCTGCTCATCATCAAGCTGTTGATGATGGAAGGTGGAACTCTGCCCCTCTGCAAGGCTGGATCTTCTCTTTTGTAGGACAGGTGATATCAAGATGCCTTTAGCCTCCTTTGCTTGTCTTCACTTCTTTTAGTCCTCCCCTTTACTTTCCAGATGTGAGTGCGCCCAGTTCTGACTCAGTACTAGATGTTCCTCACTGACGTATCTGTTGCCCTTTGCCAGAGTCCTTGGTATCAACTGTCTTGGCTGTATCAGGGTCGCTTCCCTTATCACACAACACCAGCCGGGGAGGGGTGAAGGAAGAAGCTGACTACACAGAGATGTCGAAACACAAATCATGTATATCAAGATGGCACAGGACAGTCTGTTTCAGGGCTGGGGATGAGTGGATCCTTGATCCTCATCCTAGATGTTACTTCTGCTGTACACACACTTCCCTTACACACTTGCATTTCTCTATCTCTGAACAGAATTGGGAAATTTCAGGCTAAAGTGGCTGAATACACAGACAGTTTCAGGGACAGCTCCAAGAGCAAGTTAACTGTCTCTTGGTCCTGCAGGCTTAGAAGCAGGATACAAACATTTCATAGACCATAATCTATTACCAACCCCATTATTAGATATGGAATCTATATTCCGTATCTGATATTTGAGCTTCTTCCACCAACAAACTTCCTCCCTGCAAAGAGTGACAGCAAAACATTCGTGATAGGGAAGGATAAAGTCTCCCAGAAAGGACTGGTGCGGTAAGAGCGCATCTGCTGCTGCAAAACAGAGGAAGGGGAAGATTGATAGGTCTACATGCAGAAGTCAAGCATGTAGTTATCAACACAAAATGGTATCAAAGTGCTATTTTTATTTAAGAGCCTGATAAATTGCACGTCTAGCAAAGGAGGCTGTTTTGACAAGATATGTCTCAACACAGATAAATACCTCGCGATACAATTGATCTCCCATCACTTAAGTTTATAATATTACGCCTATTGGCATTCTAGAGAATCAGAAGAACATGCTTTGGCTGCTCAGCTTCTTATTAGGTTTTACATCTTTAAAGTTACCAATGGCACTAGTAAAATATTAAGCCTTCATTTCCTGGAAACTGTTCATTGGCCAGTTTCACAAACACAAAAAAGACCCAACCTCCTCCTAGAGGTCTGAGAAAAAACTGAAATGAAAAAGGCAAACACTGTGATGGGAGAAAAAGGCCTGTCTGGTTCATTGTGCCCACTGGGCTGATCGCCTCCATGTTTCTCACAGATCCCTTTTCAGGTTCACAATTTAGGATGCTAATTTCTCAGCTTCTCCTTTGACCCAGCTGACTGGCTGTCAAGCCCATTCTTTCAACTGGCCTCCCCTAATGGCTGCAGAGAAACTCACAGGGCTATATATGTCATTTACCCTCTTAAAAAAATTTTTGTGTTGCTTGAATTTCTCTTCTCAAGCCATGTCAAAACACTGAACGGCTCAGGAGGGACTTCAGGGGAAGTAAACCCCCTCTGGCTGGCAAAACGCAACATTAAAGGACTGTTCCTACTCTTTTTTCCCCATCTGTCTTGATTGAACCACATAACACTATGTAAATTTCTACTTTTGTACTAGCAGGAAGGGAGGGGAAATTGTTCACTTTCTAGCTATTAAATTTAACTGGATACACACATTTCAACCAGAGACTGATCTATGTCCGTATGAAGATCTACTTTAAACTGTACTTTTGCCAGAAAGCTCATTTGTAATTTAGCTTGGGACATAGATTAAAGGTATCTTTAGAAGTGCTGCCTCCCCCAAAAAATCCCACATACACACTCGTCATAAAAAAAACAGAAGAGTAAAATGGCATTAAGCTTTAGGCTAAGAAAATGAACACTGGCATTCATTTTGAACTGGAAAGACTTATCTCTGCATTTTTTCCAAGACAGCTGTCTCACTGGAAGTGCTCCTTAATTAGTTCTTCAAAGGATACTGAATATTGTGTATCATGGAGTATCTACGGGTCAGGCTGGAGTCAGATTCAAGCTCTATTAGCTCTCTAACTTCCTTATAATTATAGTGCAGAAGACAAACACACAGCATTAGGGGGAAAACCCCCAGAATTTTACTCCCCAAAATAGATCCTAGGACAACTGCTCCCCTCAGCATATCAGGAATTATATTTGTTGATCAACTACTGGATCTGTTTTTAGTTATATAACACGCACTTCTTGTAATACAATTCATTTAAACCAATCAATTTTTTAAAATTGTGTAATAAGTATAGCAGGTCACAATTATTTGCTTGCTCTAATTTTTCTACCTTAATCTGACTACCAAGAAAATTTGACTCAGATAGTTTATTGTATATAGCATACAGGACTCTTATAAACAAACTGACAGTTTACCAAATCCATCCTACCTTTACATATGCTGAACCTACTGGTCAATTAAACAACTTGGGGTCCAAAATAGATGGGGTGGGATGGGACGGATAGATGGACAGGTGGATAAACGGATAGAGACAAAAATCCATCCTACCTTTACATATGCTGAACTGGTCAATTAAACAACTTGGGGTCCAAGATAGATGGGGTGGGATGGGACGGATAAATGAACAGATGGATAAACGGATAGAGACAGACAGACAGATGACAGATGGATGGAAAAACTGTTTCTGAACTGAATCACTTCAGAAGGAGAGGATCTACGATTAAGTGAACCCCTATTTTAAGAAAGTGCCCCATGTACAGAACATGCGAGGCTCACCTGGTATCTTCTTTGCTGTCCTTTGAACATCCGGCCATTTGTGTTGACCTATGCTATTAATTGAAGGATTCCATCTTTTTAATGGTTTTTATTACCTGCTTTCTATCTCAAGAGCTGCTGCATGGATAATTTTTTAGGCTGCTAAATATAGTTTTATGCTGGTTCTGTGTGTTTTGATTCATGGCTTGTTTTAGTACTGGTATTTTTCTATTTGTTGCTCTTACGATTTTATTGTTGTATTTTTACTTTGTGAACTGCCATGAGCGAGTCTCTAGAGAGGCTCCATGCACATATCTTTAATTAATGAAAATAATTCCTATGCTTCTTCACATGAAGAAATACTTGCAGGAAAACTTTGATGGAAGTTGAATTGCCTAATGCTAAGGGCCAATGCACAACAGTCACAACTATTCCAAGTAGGGATGCCAGCCTCCAGGTGAGACCTGGGTATCCCCTGGAATTACAGCTCATCTCCAGACTACAGAGAGCAGTTTCCCTGGAGAAAATGGATGCTCTGGAGGGTGAACTCTGTGGCACTGTACTACACTGAGGTCCCTGTCCGAACTAGGCTCCATCCCCAAATCTCCAGGAGTTTCCCAACCTGGATCTGGCAACCCTACCACCTCATCCTCCGCTGGTGGCCAGGGAAGATCTGGCAACCTTCATTCCAAGTGATATTGTTTGAGAAGGCCTATCTGTAGAAAACACCAGTACTTATTTCCCAAGATGGAGTTGTCAACACTACCTGCTAGGCAAGGCAGTATTTCCACCTACCATTCTTTTGAGAAAAATGAGGGAGGAAACAGTTATGTCTAGATCTTAATTGGTTCTGTAGTTTGTTAGATTCTACTTACTTTTTCATTCCAGGCCCATAGTCCAATTCCAAGGAATGCTATGCCCAGAAACTGAAAGAGAAAGAAAAACTGAAGTAAGAATAGCAACTCTTCAGACATACGGTATTTTTGTGTCTACTTGGTCTTATCTGTTGTACACATCTAAAATACAGCAGCCAGGAATTGTACGGCTGCAACAATGCTCCTTGCTCGGCTCCTGATTTGAAAGTTCATGCTAATTTTTGCCAGACATAAGAAAAGGCTGACTAAACCCAAATGAAACCTCCAAAAAGCAGTTGAGGGGGTGCAGCAGACAGACCAGGATGGATTCAAACTTCTGTTCAGCTTTGAAATTCATTAAGAACAGAATCACACATTAAAAGGAATTTGCATCCCCCTCTAGCAGTATTCAAGACAGCACGGTGTGGATGATTTTATATCATCTATTCCCCCATCTCTGTCTCCAAATCCAAGTTCTGCGGCCTAATGTGGTAGTGGCCAGCTTCAGGTGGCATCTCTTGGTGAGCCACAGCAGGAGGGGGGAATATGGAGATAAGACAGAAGGAGGGCTCGCTGAGAAACTATAATCTATTGCTGAATGTGGCTAGGTTTTTCTTCTGTTCCATGATACCATCTGTGTATGAAGGAAGCTGAGAGGGACCGTGCTACTGAAGAAATGGGATTTCTGCATTTTAATGTCACAAACGAGTTAGTACTAACTACAGTTAACAAGCCAGGAACAACTCATAGTTCAGAAACCCAGTTTAGCATCAGCCACAGTTTGTTTGGCAGCCTGCATTCAAACATCACACTACATCGGGATTTAATGAAAATGTGGCTTATTGCAATATATGAATCCAGCCATGAAAATATGATCTAGAAATTAACAAACTGTGCAGCACAAGTTAACCCAGAGTATATTTAAGGTTTGCCAATTAAATTATGGCAATAATTTGTTTTGCTCAAACTGTCAGGGTTTTCTGAAAAGAGGGTTTACAGAAATGCAACACCTTTATTGGATATTTATTGAATTAGTAACAATATACTTAAAAATAATAATGCTAACCACCTCTTGAATAACTTAACCCAAAAGCTGTCATACAGAAGAGCATTTGTAGACAGACTTTATGGAAAAGAACTCCCTCTGTCATTTCCATGTAATTCTCCTTAAACAAGTTGGCCCAGGTAGGATCCTGAAAGTTTGCCAAATCTCAGGGTCATGAACTTTTCCAGGAGCCTTGCCAAAGGCTCATGTTTCTGCACTGCACTTAAGCTGTGTCTTCAAACTCTGAGGTAATGTTTAGTGTATATTTCACTTTAGTTACTATATCCATTAACAGACTACATTTCCACAAGGCCAACACTCGGAGCATTGTTTCCGAGTTCAGTAATGGCCAAAAAGCTTGAAAAGAACTACACACGGATGTATATTTCACTGGTGAGAAAAACAGAAGCAGCTTTAAAATTGAGCAAGCGACATCTGCTTTAGTTCTTCTCTCTTTTTTTACCCCAAGCTTGCTCATATTTATAAGAAGAACTCTCCATGGTGTGAAAAGAGAGTAGCAAAAGGAAGATGCATTGGAAATATTCTAACACACACACACATACACACACAGCTCCCCTGTGGGACACTGAAACTAATATAACTAGGGGGGGGATGGCTCTACCTCTGAGAGGATTAAGAAAACATGGAGAAGAAAGATGTGCTCCCCATCTCCAAACCACAAAGCATTAGTAAATCTGGATTCACAATGACTTGCCCATAAAATGAAGAATGACTACAAGGCCTATTTATCAAGAGCAGTAAAATTAGCCTGTAAAATAGGTACCTATTCCGCTTATTATAGAAAGGGTAGGCTTGCTTTCTGTCTACAGATAACAAATGAAGAATTGGGAAGTCTCTCAAACAGGCTTGACCTCTGAAATATATCATCACCCTTGATGAACAAATCTATTATCTAGATGCAAGAACACTCGCCAAGGCCAGAGCTGACAGGTCCGTATGAATGTTTGTCTGTGGAAAATAAAAACACATTCAAGGGGAATGGAAAGACTTCAGAACTTAAGGTCCAGTAACTCACTGTCCTGGCCCCCAAGTCCAAAACACAGACAATACCTAGTCTCATTGCAGAAAAGACACAAGCTCCTCATCAAAATGATTTTTTTCCAGTAGACATTTGTACCTGCACCATGGCTATAATGCTAAACACCTGCAAATCAAAGCTAAGTCTCATTTAAATCATTTAAAAACTTACTCATGGTTCACCTACACCCATAATCACATTAAACCACTGAAGGAATCATCCATAGGCGACCTTATGTGCCTTGAAATGAATGTGCATAGAGAGGGAGTAGACTGGCCCCAACGCATCATGATCAGGCTCACATACATGGAATCTGCACATCTAGGAAGCACGGCTATGCATGTAGTCTCTATCTCCATTATTAGGAACATTATTTTTTGAAGAGAACATATGCACAGAGACTCCATGCTTCTGAGCTCAAGATGATGGATGTGTAGACGGGGGGGGGGCAGGGGAACTCATGCCCATTTCCCCTTTGTGCACACTAATTTCAACTTATGAAATGTTGTCTCTAGAGAGCTAACGAAGAATGGGTACAAGGTAGCTTCCAGCATGAGACTGCTGAAATGTGCAGACAAGCAGATCTGTAAACATTGCACAAAATGAAATAAGATACTTTGTGGCTGAGATGTGGCTTGAGTAATAGCTGACACATGGTAGGTCTAACTTCACCAAACTTGACACCTATCATTTGGTAATTGGCATGTTCAAGTAGCAATGTATACTAGCTAAAACACCACACAGTGAACATACAGTAACCAAATCCTGGACTCCGTTATAAATCAGATATGAAGTCTGAACTTGCTAAAAATGGGAGGTGGTCAGCAGTGTTTGCTAGAACAAAATAGCCATTGTGCAGGATGAGGCCAGTGGGCCATTTCACACAGTGGCCAACAAAATACCCCCAGGAAGCCATACCACCATGTTACATAGGTTGAAGCTTTCCCCTGTTGCCATCACCCATCACTGGCACTCTCAGGGTTACTGCCGTGGACATGGTCTGAAAACTATGGATGACATTTAAGCATATGATATTCAGCCAATCTGAAAGAAATGCCTGTGAAGAACAGCCAAGAAACTGTTCCATACAGAGCTAATTAATATGGATTATTTTTCTAATTTTACAATGGTTGCCTAATCAAGTTTCATTAGATCCTTGTGACTCAGTTGCCTTTGCCTTTTAAAATACATATGGATGGAAACTGCTCAGCAAATGTGGTGAGAAAAACTAGATTGCAATTACAGCACCCACACACACACACACACAAAGCAGTACCATCATTTCTCTCTCTTTATTTTATGACTCAGTTAAAAAAAAGTGGAAGCCCACAGTAAAAGTTTCGCCAAATGTTCCAATGTATTGACCATCTTTCTGTGGGGACAAACAGGTCACTCACTCCATGACAGAATATAAACCTGGCATTAAACACCACAATATTCAGAAAACAGTGGGGGGGACGTTTTAATCTTCCATGGCATTACGCTGCCGATTCAGAGTTAGTGGTCTCTTACAAAGGGATTTCAAAGGGAGAATCCAATGTGAAATCGCTGGATTAGAATTTATTAACAAATGACAATGAGCCCACAGGGTTTAACAGGGACCTTGGATTCCCAGCTCACTATAGATGCCAGTATCTTGCATAGCCTACCCCTTCATTATTTAAATAGTTCAGCCGTACCTTGTAACTTCCAGTTGAATCTGCTTATCTAATTTCATTTTGCTCTGATGTGGCAGATAGAAAGCTGTCCTACCCAAGAGTTAAAACAGTGACTAAGCTGTTTTGACACCTGGGCCTATGCGAGTGCTGCTCCAGCATTCAATCTCCTTCAAAAGAGGAGGGCTGCCTGAGGGAGAGGACAAAGAAAATGTGGAACTGTCTCAGCAAGGGCGCAGACAATTTCATCCGTAGCTCTGCTTGGTAGAATGGCAGAGTGACTTCGCTCTGCCTTCTGTATTGTTTTCTTCAACCTCCTGCTTCAGTGGTCTCTGTACTCTTCATGCTCACTACAAAACTCACCTCACAGCAGTGACCCAAAGCTACTTGCTACTCTAACAACATCTTGTAACTGAGGGGAAGGCTTTTATCACAAAACCAAGCAGGTTCCTCACAATCATCAGAGGGGCAACATGGGTCCCCCTTGGGTTCAAAAAAGGGCCTGTCACATCTCGGTTTTACATTCTGCCTAGACAATAAGTATCTCACACTCTCCCTAAATGAACTGATCACTCTTTGGATTGGATCTTGTTTTGAACCAGCCCTCCCTATAACACCCCCCACACCCCCACACACACAGTACTTTCTGTTGTGTGTATAAATCGGTCTCATGGATTTACACTCTTATGGTCAAACACGTTTTGCTCAACCTCACAGTGCTGCTGGACTCTTGTTTTAATTTAATAGTGAGGCACGTGTAACACCCTGGAAAAATGTATCTTACACTTGGCGAATCAATTTCCAGATGCACTTTTGTACATATTTCCCCATCTTACTGTGAGAATTGTAACCAAAGGGACTATGACATTATCTGCAGGGAACAAGAGCTTCTCACTGTAGCTAAAAAAATGTTATTGGAAGACATTTCTGAAAGTTAATTACACCTCCTGGTTAATCTGTACTCAGAACATTTCTTCCAGTGACAAAGAAAGAGAGGCAGATGATGTTGTTTACCTTTCCCATTAGTCACAAAAAATTCACCAGCAGTAACACAGTACAGAATGAATCAATGAAAGGGAACCAAGATCCATTTTCCCTCCCCTCCCATGACTCTTCATCACCAGCTGCTGTTAGGACTCAACTAGGTCATGCTTGTGTGATTCTCATATTCCTTCAGTGTATATTTGGCCCTTTGGCTTCATTCTACGAAGAATGTTCTGCTTCCTCTAGCTCAGACTGTATCTACCCCTACCCACTTAGGTGACCACATTCTGGCTCACAAAAGCTTAAGCCATAATATATTTGTCTACCCATAAGATGAGTGGCATCTTGT